AATCAAATGATCTCAAACAGGTTGTGGATTCATGGTCACCACAGTCACATAGAGCAATGACTATCAGTATTGGCAAAGGATGTAGGAACTATTGTGACAGTACATGTGACAAAGCTTTTTGCTATCTTAGAGTGGCACAAGATTGCAAACAAGATTGCAAATGGTGCCACTCATGTCCAGAAGATTACAAAAGGTGCCACTCAATTCTAGGATTGAAAACAGTGCCACTCATATACAGGATTGCAAATGGTCCATGGATTGGGAACAGTAGTCTGACTTTAGTGAGCTGGGTGTCCTGTTCCTGATATGGTCTAGCAAGTACTACTGCTGGCTACTGCTATCACTGGTGCACTGCTGCTGCTACCACTGTACTACCCTTACACTACTACCACTGCCAATGTACTAACCTGGTACTACTACTGCTGTACTTGTACATTTGATGAACTATTCCTGTACTACTACTAGTACTACCACCATGGTACTACTGTTGTACTATACTGTTGTGCTACCATTGTGTTGTACTACTGTTGTGTTGTACTAGTGCTGTACTAGTGTTGTACTAGTGTTGTACTAGTGTTGTACTACCGTTGTACTACCGTTGCACTACTGTTGTACTACTGTTGTACTACTGTTGTACTACCGTTGTACTACCGTTGCACTACTGTTGTACTACTGTTGTACAACTGTTGTACAACTGTTGCACTACCATGACTGTTGTAGTACAACAGTAGTACAACGGTAGTACAACAGTAGTGCAACGGTAGTACAACAGTAGTACAACAGTAGTGCAACGGTAGTACAACGGTAGTACAACACTAGTACAACACTAGTACAACACTAGTACAGCACTAGTACAACACAACAGTAGTACAACACAATGGTAGCACAACAGTATAGTACAACAGTAGTACCATGGTGGTAGTACTAGTAGTAGTACAGGAATAGTTCATCAAATGTACAAGTACAGCAGTAGTAGTACCAGGTTAGTACATTGGCAGTGGTAGTAGTGTAAGGGTAGTACAGTGGTAGCAGCAGCAGTGCACCAGTGATAGCAGTAGCCAGCAGTAGTACTTGCTAGACCATATCAGGAACAGGACACCCAGCTCACTAAAGTCAGACTACTGTTCCCAATCCATGCACCATTTGCAATCCTGTATATGAGTGGCACTGTTTTCAATCCTAGAATTGAGTGGCACCTTTTGTAATCTTCTGGACATGAGTGGCACCATTTGCAATCTTGTTCGCAATCTTGTGCCACTCTAAGATAGCAAAAAGCTTTGTCACATGTACTGTCACAATAGTTCCTACATCCTTTGCCAATACTGATAGTCATTGCTCTATGTGACTGTGGTGACCATGAATCCACAACCTGTTTGAGATCATTTGATTAGCTCATGATGGAAATTTCATTTGCAATCTTTGCAGTGAAGTTCTCATGAATAATATGCAAACAATACCCTGAACTGCTGTGTACAGTGTACCTTGGTTTTCATTGTCATAATCGCTGCAAGACTGGATCTGAGTGTTTGCAATGAATTATTGCAGAGTAGCTGGTACAAGTCTGGATCAAAATATAGCAAAGATATAGAGACCATGTCTGTTTGTAATAGTTTGTCTACAATCAATTCATGATACAAAGTTTGTATGATTGTGAGCTGAATCATAACATTTCAGGTATAATCTTCTCCACTTTATGAGTACAGGATTGCAAACAGAGAAATCACAATCATACCAGTGATTGTTTCTCATCCTTCAAGTCTGTATGATCACATAATGCATTCTTCATCATTATACTATATTCCAAGGGTGAAGATGACAGAATGATAGAGAAAGCAGGTTCATAATCATCACTTGATCTGTTCACAATCTTTGCCTTTCCATGATTGAGAATTTCCTTTGCAATATTAATTAACAATCATTTATGTATATCATGGGTCAAATTAGTTGATCTAACTTTGCAATATTTCACGCCGGAAGATGGAGTTTCTCGTCCGGTGCAGTGCGCATGCCGCGGCCGCCGTGCCAGTGGTGGTGGCCTTCGTCCCAGTCGGTGTGTACATGTGGAGGGCACCAGGTGTCGGGCGATCTGTGCCATCCATCGTGCTACCCTTTCCCAAACACCGCACGATGTGCGCCGCCGCGACCTCTCTTCTTCGTGCGACGGCCAGAAGCACACGACCACCCATCGCGATGGCACCCCAGTCCCGCGCCACTGCGGATTCATCTGTGCGCAACTACGTACAGCAGGCGACACGTTGGCCAGAGTGTTCGCATACGTAGCAACGGCAATCATGTACGTCTGTCTCCAATCTATCCACATCTGCACCAACGGCATGCAGCCCCAACAATTTAGACATCGTCTGTGCCCTGTCAGACTGGGTCCCAGTTTTGAACTCGTTGTAGTCTTCAATAACCACGCAGACGCTCCTATCGCACCGTTCTCACCACGGATTCACCTGCCGGCCCCTGCCTGTGCATCTCGCGCGCATGCTTGCAAAAAGGCTCTTGTCGTAGCTGGGTATCTCCGTGGCATAGCTCGCCGCGTTCCGTTATGATCATGTAGAGCGTGAAGTTATTGTCGGACATACGCGCGCCGCGCAAGGTAAGTTAGGTTCCGACCGTGATGCAGGCTCCCAGCGTCAGCAAAGTGGCCGCCGGGTGCGGTGCTTGCATGCGCGGAGAACACGCACGTCAGAGGACGAAGCGCTATCGGTCCGTCTACGCGTCAATGCGGTGTACGCTGTGTGACCCCTGCGAAGTGAAGCATATGCCATGGACCGTCCGAGAGATTCGCCGTCTTGCACGCTGTACATGGCACGCATCTGCGCGCACGCACGGCGCACGAGAGGGAGGACCTGTCGTGTTCGATCGCGCTGGTGCCCCTTGCACGCTGTTCTGTGCGTGTCGCGGGCGCTGATAGCCAAGCACTCCGGAATCAAGGAACCTCTGCCCGCAGCGTAGCTGAACGTCCCGATCCCGGGAAGCCAGGAAAGCCAGGACAAAACTGCGCAGAGGAGACACGCAAAGTACGGCTGGACGCCTGATTGGTATTCTTGATATTCCGGCTGATCAGTTATCGAATGAGAGGCAAGTCTTCATTGTGGTCCTGGTGGGGGGTCAAGCCTGACGCGTATGCGGCCATAGATCTGCCTGCGTCTGCATCTGCGCGACATCCTAGGCTCTGTCTAACCGCGAAATTCTTCCACGGTGTCTTGATATACAAGGACGTTGCGCGCCCATCTGGAAGGATTGCTGGACACAGTCGCGGCACTGCCTGCTAGCTGATTCGGCGGGTGTGCTACGTTGCGAACGTAGTCGAACAGTGAGCGCCGCGACTACGTAGCGCAACCTTGCGAGTTCGGCGTCCATTTGTTGCCATCGCCATGGAATTGCCGGGAGTCTCGACTGGTAAGGGGTCCCAGCCTTCTCTGTCCTCCTCCACGCCCTCACTTACGAGGGCCCGGCGGCGCATCGCACAAGCATCGGATGCCCTCCGCATCAAAGTCCGCAGCGATGAGCGATAGGTATGCAAAAGCGTGTCGTAGTCGGGATGTTGGTGCGTCCGGGTGCTCTGCGGTCTTCGTCATCTGTATCATTCAGTGCTCATAGGGCGGCCAGGCTTGTCTCGTGTCTCCGATGGTGTCGACTAACCGGCCCAATTGGACTAGACTACCCCGCGGATGCGGATATGTGGTGCGGGCGATGGGTCTCGTAGAACCCCGATAGTGCCCTCCCCGAATGAAACCGGTGTGTTCGTACTTTTGGCCGAGGGTCCATACATGCCAATGAAGGAGAGTCCGCGGGCTTGAACATCGCAGGGGACACTGGAATCTGGCGAAGACTCGACGCCAGATGACTCAGCGTGTTCGCCACTGAGAATCCATGGCCAGGCCAACGAGGAAGCATCGAGTAACGGCGGGGGCGTGTTGCAGGGGAAGTACTACGAGATCAGGGTCACCTACGTGGACGCAGCGATGGGGTTAAGACATCTGGCATGCTTTCCTCTCTGATGCCGGATCCTATGCGCGCACAACGCCCACGGGGCGAGTGCTTGCGTTCAAGTTCGTGCCCGCGGCGCGCCGCTTGAGCCGGTCGGGGACGCGCTCAACACACTACTGGTGGATATAAGTGTACTGCGCTTTGAAGGTGGCGATATCTACTCACTGTCGCTGTGTGACCGTGGATGTGCTCAGACGTTTCCGTGCCTCCATTTGCTGCCGCAGGTAGGCTAGCAGCGCGGCAAGCCACTGCCGCCTTGGTGTGTCGGGTGGTTGTCGGTAAGTAGAGGGAGACTCGGCTGCTAATTGGTTTGTCTTGTAGATGGTCAGGAGGAATGGTCGCGAGCAAGGCATGCCAGTGGTACTGCATTGCCGCAGGGGCTGAGTGAGTGCAGGACGCGAAGAAAGGCTGAATGCACGGCGGGAGAGGGGCATCTTACTGACGCACCAGAACTCGGGTCGTGGGTCTATTTATACGGGAGCAGCTGTGGAGTGAAATCCTTCGTATTCGCTATGCGCGAACAATGGAGAGTCGACGAAGAGCGGTGCAGTGGCGCACTGTGCAATGATAACGTAGAACAATCAGACGACGAGCGGCGCTCGCGTGGCAGCGTTGTACTGTGTGAAGGCATAAATGAGACTGAGCGAGCGACGTAAGACTGCCACCGGATTCGAAAGGTTAGAAGCGTACTTGCCTCTTCGGAGTTGGCACGGTCTGAATGAACTTGGACTCGGAGTTGTGTAGCATTTCCACAGGCTGTCAGATGTGAATCTGATGCATTGGTAGTCGGCCTTATACCGGGTGATAGAATTCTGATCCGCTACAGAATTATAAGTATAACCGGCCAATGAATGTGTAGCTGTGAACGAGGAGATTACATCGGTGCGGAATCCAACCTCAGGCTCCTGCCAGTGGCAGTCGCGGTGGGGAGGTAACTTCCAAGAGGAGAGCTGCAAAACATTTGAAGCGGTAATATTGGCCTCAATGTTTAGTGTTGACGCGCCTTCTTAGCTCAGTGGTAGAGCGCGTCACTAGTATGTTAAAGAACAAAGCGAGTGCCATGACGAGGTCACCTGTTCGAAACAGGTAGGAGGCAATATATTTTGCTCGTTTCATTTTGGCTCCCGGAGTCCGACAGAGACCGAAATACAACGAGAAGGTCTCGTCGTGAGTCCATCCGTCGTCGTCTCACCATGAGCTCCATAACATATTCACAGATTCCGTGATCATTTGGAAACGTTTCGCTCTTGGTCGCGTCTTCTCCGCCACGTGAGTGTCCGAGTCGGCTTCGTCCAAGGTGTGTACATCTTCTCTCACATCTGCTTACATATGACTGCCATGCACGCCGTCAGTATGTGTTTCATTCCACAGAATCACCCGCTGCGCGCTCCTGCCCGAGGCCCCTAGAATGGGTATGTCATATAAGGCCCTTCTCCAGATGCTGTGGCTCATCTCGCTGCTAGTCCGTCTTCCGCCGACATGGAGTCCAAGTTAGCTGCTGTACAGGACGTCGCTGACAAGCGTTTTGATTTTGTCATAATCGGTATGATTGACTCACGCCCTGTGGTGTGACGGCTCACTCACTGTACTATCTCTTAGGCGGAGGAGTAAGTGAGCCTTGCCAGCAGGCACCCGTACAGTACTCATCCCGCAATTGACAAGACTGCTGGGCTGTGTCTAGCCAACCGTCTCAGCGAGGATGCTCACACATCCGTTGCTGTGCTCGAAGCCGGTCGAGCACATTTTGACGACCCTTAGATTCGTCAGTCGATCAGTCTTCGCACGCTTCATGGAAACCGGACTACTGACCGCGTCTTCAGTGAAGCCCTTGGGATGGCTGCAACAAGCGTGGCAGCCGGAATATGACTGGGTTTTCCCGGTGGCCCCGCAAAGTGCATGCGACAGCAGCAAGTTCTGCTGGAATCGGTTTGAATGGTTCTGCGTCTGCATCATTCTCTGATCTGACTCTTCGCCCAGGGGCAAGGGCTTGGGTGGCAGTTCCTCGATGAACATGCTTCTGTGGACTCGAGAGCATCATGATTGACGTTTCCGGGACAGCTTCATCGCTCCGAAAGGATCATCCCCGAGCGACTATCTCGACCTGTACAGGACGGATGACCTCAGCCACGACGGTGAGGTTCATATGCATGAAACTTGATGGGGTACGGTGTTCTCATCGATACGTTACTCTAGGACCCATCCGTCTGTCGTTCGCTCAGGCTACCTCTGGTATGGAAGTACCCATCCAACAGGTACGGTGGTTTATGTTTCGGGCGGTATCCTAGTGTTGAGAACTTGGATCGTCAGAGCCTGAAGCAACTTGGGGTTGAGACCGTCGATAATTATGTATGTACTACTTTCGACAAAAGCTAACCATCTACTCACGGGTTTGGCAGATGAGTGGCAAGGTGATATCAAGAGTGTGCGATGCAGAGTCGACGGGTCTGACTTGTCGGCATAGCTGATGGGCACATTCAAGGCACTGTCCAACATAGATCCTGCCACCGGAACTCGATGCAATGCTGCCACAGTGGGTACCCCACCCAGTAAATGCAACACTCCCTGATGGACGAAACCAGGCCTATCTCCTCCCGGTGCTAGATCGCCCCAACCTCAAGGTCCTGACGGAGGCGCCTGTCACGCGTCTCGTTACGGAAACGGTGGGGGGCGAGCTCGTCACTACGGCGGTCGAGTTTGAGCGTGGCGGGACGGTCCACAGAGTGCTCGTCGGAAAGGAAGCCATATTGTGTGCAGGGTAAAGTGCATTGTGTTTGAGGGTACGTCGTCTCATTGCGAGACAGGACTATCCGGTCTCCGCAAATCCTGGAGCTCAGTGGGATAGGAGATCGAAGCATACTGGAGCCCTTGGGAACTACGGTCAGCAAGCATCTGCCAAGCGTCGGCCAAAATCTTCAGGACCACGTCATCTTCGTCGGCTTCGTACAAGGTGAGTTGGTGAGCTGATGTGTTTGCGGTTTGCCTGTTGTTGACCGACGGGTGGCACTCAAGCAATGCGCGACGATGCGAATATACTTACGAGTGATGCGGCATTCGATGAGAAGCGTCTCATTCGTCTGCGCGAGTCCGGGTGCGTGTGCGATTGGTACGCACTCCCGCGGATCTTACTGACGACTACCAGGCTGCAAGTCGACGACCCTTGGTCGTTGTGCATCACAGGCTGCACGTTTCTGCCGCTGCAGGCGTTCTCGGACCGCTCAGAGAGCATCCTCAAGACTATCTCAAAATACTGATAGCTGAGAAGGCTGACCAGTTCCCTCCCGGGCTGATGGAGCAGTACGAAGTGTTATATGAGAATCTCGCGAAATCAGACTTCCCCGCCATAGAGCTCGTCGCATTTCCGTTCAATGCAGTCCCTCCGGTGGAAGGCGATAGAGGATCCTAACCGATCGGTCGGTCCTACGTTCTGATGCACGAATGACTCGGAGTCTCATCTCACAACTGACATCGTAGCCGGGTCAATTCCGTCGTATCCCGTCCTCATGCCGTCAATCCAGCACCCCTCGTCTCGGGGTACTGTTGTGAGTGGCTAGCGCATCTCAACATTGTGGCTCGAGTAACGAATGGTCGTGATAGCATATCACCTCTCCGGATCCGAAAAAGGTTCCCTCCATCGACCCGCGCTACCTCGAGGAAGAGGCAGATCTGGACGTTCTCGTAGACATATTCAAGTTTACGCGCAAGATGAGCCAGATGGCTCCGTTCCAGACAGTGGTAGGGGCCGAGATCGCTCCGGGATCCAAGGTTCAGACGGATGAAGATCTCCGCGGTATGCGCTACTTTCCTGCGCGGCACTGGCACGAAGACTGACGATTTCTCGCTTCAGCTCACATCAGGAAGTACGTCTAAACGACTTGGCGTACGTACTGTGCTTTATCAGCCGCGGCCTGAGCAGACCCTCAGTGCACACAACCCACAGATTTATGCGGCACCTGTTCCATGCTGCCTCAGGACAAGGGTGGTGTCGTCGATAGCAAGCTCAAGGCGCGTATACGATGCTTCGGTCTCGATGCGTGTGAATAACAGTGGATATGCAGGTCTACGGGACATCGAACGTTCGCGTCGTCGATATGTCCATTGTTCCCCTGATCCCCTCCATCCATACACAACGTACGTACAGCCGCCTGGTATGTATCTAGTGCTGCTAGCTGACCTATTCGTAAGCCGTGGCATACGGCATAGCGGAGATGGGTACTTGAGTTCTGATGACAGTTGTAAATGAAGGGACTGACCTCCGTCATGCTCTAGCTGCGGATATCATCAAAGGTGCATACGCCTAAGCACTACGGACCAACGACGTCCTCGCATGTTTGATTCTCGTACGCTCCGCGAACATGGTTGTTACATTCGTGGGGATGTGTTGGAATTTCGTCTTGCTTGTACCCGCGGACTGGAGATTTGACGCAGTGTTTTTCGTCTCTGTTTTCTGCCATGTGTATATTAGCTTCTGTCACGATCGATCAAGCCCAACGGCTCTGCAGTATTGCTGTTCTGTGTTCCACAGTGATGCCAAACCCAGGAATGCCTGATTTCCGCCTGTGCCGGAAATGATCCTCGCCCCGGGCAAACGGCGTCCCTCCAAACGCGTCCGTCAGGCTTCGCGTCATGGTACAACCGCCTGCAGCGAACAATCCCGACTTGCCCGATGGGAGCAAGAGCGTTGTCTCAAATCAGTGCAGTACGACGAAATCATCCTTTCGTCTGGTAGCTAGCATATCAGCCTGGTATGTCCTAGTTTGAGTAAGTGGCACAGCACATCAGTAACTTGCCTCAATTTCGAGTCCGAGTCGCCGGGTAGCACCGTTGTCGTCGATGTTCTGCCTTGTGTACTTCGCCCTCTCGACCCATCTCTTCTCTCCACTCACACATGCTAGTAAGCTCAGGCTCAGTGCTGTCTCCATCGGTGCCTTCTTCGCCGATGCCGAGTGGGGTGCCAGCCTTTCGCTCGTCCATCTGAGCTTCCACCGCTTACTGGTGCCGCGAGCTCAACGTCATCATGCGCCCAGGAGGTCCACCGTCGTAACTCTCTCAACGATCCGTTATGTAGTATGAAACCGCTCCTGACTGAGGTCAGTGGCTCGACCGGGAACTGACAGAACCGAGCGCACAGTTCCTGGCTTCTCATTGGATACGAGTAGTACAATGGTACCCGGTTAACGAGTGTCAAACTCGCTCCTGATTGTATGATTTAGATAAAATATGTCCGACAATGCATGCACTACCACAGACAGCTACTGAAGACGACCTCAGTGGCCGGTCGTGGTCACACCAAACATATTCTTCACATTGACGGCGAGCAGCATCACACCGGATATCCACTCGGGCGCAATGTGGAACGTGTAGAACAGCGCCTTCGCCGTCGGACCGTTCATGGACCCAGGGCCCATGGCTGTGAGCGAGAGGGTGTAGCTGCGCATTGCCGCCAATCGGTAGACCGTGGGGATGATCTATCAAGCGAGACGATGAGATTCTAATTGCACTTTGAACGCAGCAGGAAAACGTACAACGACGGAGATCATGGCAAGGAGGTAGAGCGCGGGCTTCCGAGGCGTGCGCTGTGGACGCGTTTGTAGAGCCCAAAGGACCAGTCCCAGAACCAGGAACTGGGAGACGAGCACAACGAGCGCTGAGCCGTATCTAACACAGCGTGCAAGGCATGAACTTTCAGGACACCACGCAATATACTCAAAACGTACCTCGTCAATTGCACGATAAGAGCTATAGTAGGGCTCTTTGTGCCGTAGAAAAATATCGAACCGGATGTGATGGCGGGGAAGAGGGCTGTGAGACGGAGCACCAACATCACAATCTTCATGCGCTTAAACACAACACGGAGGTGCGCTTCGTCTCCGAAGGGCACGTGCTCGGTCAATGGCAACTTGCTGTATGACGAACTCGCATCGCCGCGTGGTCCGCCTGCCATAGTGAGTGGCTGCTCCTCTTCCCAGTCGCCAGTGAAGGGTATTATTGGCGGTGGCGGAATAACGGACGGCGCGGTAGCAGGGCTGCTAAGCAGGGCGTTTGCGACGAAGAGTCGGGCAAGATTACCGAGGTCCATAGCCATGCTGAGATACCCCA